GTTCCACTTCATCTAACCCTTTATTTTCCTTCTTTTTCTTTAAAACCTTTTTTTTTTGGTAGTCTTTCAGGAGGGTTTTTTCCGCCTTTCATCTAAAAACACTCAAATTGTCCCTAATGAGAGATATCACTTCAGCAGACCTTGTTATAGAGCAGGGGTAGTCAACCTTGGCTCTTTTATGACTCGTGGACTTCAACTCCCAGAATTCCTGAGCCAGCCATGCTGAGGGGAAAGGGAGAGGTTTCCAAGCTGAGCTAAGCTGGCTCAGGAATTCTGGGAATTGAAGTCCACGAGTCATAAAAGAGCCAAGGTTGACTTACCCCTGTTATAGAGCAAGCAGTAAATTCATGAACAAGATAAAAACTACTTAAATAAATAAATAGATGAATAAATAAATAGATGAATAAATAAGTTGGATATACAAGGACATTCCTCAAGTCCCTTCCATCTTCTCTTCCAACAGAGCCGTTTGTTGCACATGTAGTTTGTGCTGTCTTCAGGCAGGAAGACAAACATGACACACATTCTGCGGGTCACTGGAAGAGCTCCTACAGTGTCCACGGAGGTATGACATCTAGATGAATCCATCATCTTCCAATTTCTTTACTAGAGACCCGCCTAGCCTTTTCCTACCTGCCCAAAATAATTTGTTACTTCACCCCGAGTGCCTACGTTTGTAATCCAGTTAAAACGTTTCTCCAGACCATGATAAATCCAAGAGATCGGCGTTGTATTGTAGATTCTTTGCTCTGTGCTAATAATTAGCGTTCACATATTTACATCTGAAGAAATATGTTTTACTAAATCACGAAAATAAATTTTTTAAAAAGGTTAATACGTTGTCCATGGAAGTAAAAACAGATGTTAACCCTTTTATAGTACGTGATTTCCAGGCCTAAAGAAGCACATAAATGCAGTTTATAAAGACCCAGACTTTTGCCTCAAAAATAGCAAAATAGAATAAGATAAACACAACTAATGTTGAAAACTATGGAATACACAAAGTCACAGAAAGAAGTTTTGTTCCTTTATGTACGAAGATTTTATATTTGGCAGTACAAATTTACAGAAAATCTGTTTTGGGATATTTTGATTCTTATATAGCTATCTTTTAAAATTTCTATAGAGCAAAATAGCTTAACTTAGATAAAAGTGCTTCTTTGTAGTTCATTCCATTTAACCTCATATAGTTTGGTCCTGATGCCATTGCTGTCCAGGTTTCACACTTGTTACAGGTTTTGGAGGAATCAGCTGAGGTCCTAGGTGATAACCATCTTAATATGAAGTAGACAGACTTTGAAATAAGAAGATTATTGCACATTATTTATATTAACGTGACATTAATACGACATAAAATGTTGCGTATGCCTGATGCTTGAAGGTGCAGTTTCAGAGCTGGAATATTCACCTTTTTAAGTGTCTTGTCATTTCCATACTTTGAGTTGTAGTCTGTAGATAGTTAGTGTAACTAGAGAGCATTGCTGATAAAATTTGCATTACGTTCTTCTTCAGTATATCCCCAACATTTGGACTGTATCTGGACATAAAAAACCAGCATGTTTCATGTATGAGAAATGCCCAAAATAATTATTATACAACATTGGAATCACATATGATTTATAGTAATAAATGTGATATGTGTTGTCTATCAACATTTGAATTATAATTATAATTTATAACATGAATTATTATAATTTATATTTATTAAAATGTATTGTTATTTTACAAAAGGACAAGAGGGCTGAACAGTTTTGGAAATCTGGGGGGAAGGGGTGCTTTATCTTATGAGATCAGCTTCCAGCTATCACAACAACCCTTGTTTATGTAGGTATTTTTTCCTTTTTTAATTGGTTTGATGCAATAAATATATTTCCTTAAAAACAAATACACACACAGGAATATTAATATTTTAATATTTCCTTTAAAAGAAATATATCTAAAAATCATACACGTACACAGAATTAGGTCAGGCCCAAGACATTTACTGGCTGAAGTGGAACAGCTAATAGATCCAATTCTATATTGGCTGATTATATCAATTTATTGTATAAAAGTTCTATACATTCATTCATTTGTTCATTCATTTGTTCATGCACTGTCAGACTCCAGACAAACAAGTATGAATAATATTGATGGATGTCTCCTTTTTTAACCCTTGCAAACATAATTTGAAAAGGTCACCCTCCTTTAGCTTCATTTGTTTACTTTTTGTATGATTGTTAGAACAGCAGCCCTAAAATGATTTACATTGAAGTACTCCATTGACTTGGTCTTACTCCTAAATCAGCCTTTATAGGAGTAGAGCCTCATAGCTTCCTGTGTTTACATATTTTAAAAAGGAATTCAGTTGTGATAAATAACAGTCCCAAGTAAGTGTGAGTACAACTACAAACTATTATCATTCTTTCCCCATTTCCTTCCTTCCTTTTTTGAATAGTGTTTAAATATTAAAAAACACAACTCAAATTCCTGAAAAACATCACCAATATAGAACCACGCACGTCTATCCATCAATGTGCATGTCAACAGACTGTATAAAAACTTTTAAATATTAGCGTACGATGGGGGTGATGCATGGGGTTTTTCTTCCTCCATGAAAAAAAGATGATGTAAGTCACGGTTTACGTCTATGTGATCTAAACTTGGTTATTATTATTATTATTATTAAATTGGAAACAGGGTTCTTCCTTGCAAATCAAAATACCTTTTTTGTCAAATAGAAATTAGATCTTTGTCTCATTTGAAATCTGTAAATCTGGGCTTGCTAATATGCTTTCTGAGTCAGTGGATCAGGTGCATCCTTAACCCAGAGATTAATCTGGAATTGCCTTACTCTAGAATTCATGTGGTCTCTCTCATGGGCATTGCAGGGAGAAAGGGAAATAGTTGTTTCATCTTACAAGCGTTGTAATCTGCCTCAAGTACCCAAGAAATGGCGGTATTATGGTTTGTTGTGGCTGCCTCTGTCCTCTTTTCACTCTCAGCTGAGGATTGAATCAACCTAGAAAGAGTACAGAGAAGAGCAACAAAGATGATTAGGGGACTGGAGGCTAAAACATATAAGCAACGGTTGCTGGAATTGGGTATGTCTAGTTTAACGAAGAGAAGGACGAGGGA